CAGCAAGACAGGTACACCCCCAGTACACCCCCGATACACTCTGGATACACCCCGGATACATCCCAGATACACCCTGGAGACACCCCGATACACCCTGGATACACCCCGGATACACCCCAGATACACCCCGGATACACCCTGGATACACCCCGGATACACCCTGGGTACACCCTGGCACAGCTCCCCAGCCCCTCAGCTCTTTCCTGCACATCAGATTTGGGGGTTTCCATTCCATGGAGCCCCTCCCCCTGTGAACAGACACTACAAGGTCTCCTCAGCACCAGGGGCATCCCCCCCTTGGCTGGTTGGGTTTGGGGGCCTGCGGTGTCCAAAGCACACAAAGACTCTCCTGTTTGGGTGGGTTTTCCTGGTCTGTGGTGTCCAAAGCACAGAATTCCCAACAGTCACGCTCCCAAATCATGGAGCCACAGCCCCCACACGCCCTCTCAGAGCCTCCCCTTGCCCAGGGCTCTCCCTGGGCACCCAGGGCTGGGAGGGGAGGCAGGAACTGAACTTCACCTCCGGGAGAAGCAGCTGAGAAGGTTTTATTTTAAAGCTGGGCTTGGCAAAGAGCATGTGAGGGCTGAGGCTGCCTTGGGAGCACCCAAGGGACTGGGCACCACTTCCACAGCCCTCTGGGCAGGAACTGGGGCTCTGCCACCCCCCAGAGTTCACCCAGCCAGGGGAACTGAACCACTGAGGAAAGGGGGCTCTTGGATCGGCACAAATCCCACCGGATGAGCACACGGTGGTGAAGTCCCCCAGGAGATGGTTCAGTGCAGAGATGTCACCTCAGGCAGCCCTGGCAGAGCTCCTGCCCCGGGCTGGGCAGGAGGGACAGGAAGGCACCTGGTGGCTGCAGGGACCAAGCCCAGGCCGGAGCACGACGGAGCCACAACGCGGTGTAACCGCGGAGTGACCGGCACGGGGCCGTGCTCCGAGGGATGCCACTGAGAAACCAGGGTTGTAATCACAGCTCACTGGCTAATAGGGGGGAAAATGGTTCTGGGATGCCACTGGAGAACAAAAAAGCCACTGGAATTGTATTTCCTTCAGATATGTTCTTTGGGAATGTCCCTTCACCTTCCCCCAGCCGGTGCCCCAAGCCTTGCCCTGGCAATGGGATGTCTGACCCTTCTGGAACAGATGCTGAGGGCAACACTCGGCTTTTGGGGGGATTTTTTTTTTTTTAGTCATTTTTTGTCATTTTTTTAATCTGTGCACTATGGGTTTCCATTCTGCTGCCCACCTGCAGCTCTCCAAGGAGATGTCCTTGATGAAACCTTGGGATGAAACCTTGGGTTTCATCCCAAGGGCAGCAAAGCCTTGGGACAGTCACAAAAGTTCTGTCAGGCTTTGCTGAGGACACAGTATCCAAACAAACACCTGGGATTTTGCCTGCCATGACTGTTACAGCTCAAGAGAAGCAGGAATTCTATTTTCTGGGGGGGGGAAATGTTGTCAGAAGATGGGTGAAACTCCAGCTTTATCCGCTGTGGGATCACATCTCCACAGCTCCACTCTCCCCACACCTCTGCTCACAGGGGTTCCAGCCGTGCTCCCCTTCCCCACCCAACCCCCAGGGACTGCCCACAGGAGCTGGGACCCCGGAGAGGCCCCTGCTGTGCCAATGGATGGCAGTGCTCCCAAGGCTGTTATCCATGGATCCCATCTCCCGTCACCCCAGGAGCCCCTTTCCCACAGCCCAACCAGAGACAAACGTGCTGTGATCCAGGAACGGGCCACACTGGAGGGGTTTAGGAGCCCATCGTGCCCTCCCCCAGTGAGGTGGCCGTGCTGGTTCCCCAGGGATGGTTTGCTGGTGCTCCTGGAGCTGCCCAGGATCCCAGTCTGGCTCGCTGGGCTCCCAGGGGCTCCTTGCCCGGGTTTCTCCCAACATCTTCCTGCGTGTGCACAAATATCCATGGAATAACACAAACACGGATCTACAGACAGGTCAATCCTACCAGGACAGACACCCTGTGGATATGGACAGATTCCAAGCTCTGCACAGAGGGAGGAGGGACAGCGCTGAGCAGAACCTGGGCCGAGTCCTCATCGCTTTGGACACGGAGCTGAGCAAGCCCAGGGGCTTAAATGGATAGGTGGAGTCAGGAAATCCATTTTCACAGCCAACAGATCCTGCTCCAGCCCCGGGAGATGGGAAGCTCAGACTCAGAAGGACATTTTTTCCTGGTTTACCTATAAAATCAGCGGAGCCAGGTAAGGAACCCCCCCGACTCTGGATCTGTTCCGAACTGCAAACCCCGACACACCAAGCAGGAGGAATGTTTTGTGGATCAGGATCACCTCGTGGCTGGTGGGAAGGACATTCCCAGGGAGTGATGAGGTAATTCTGAGCTCCAGTCCCAAACGAGGAGGGATCAAAGCCACGGAGCTCGTGCATCTCTGCAGGTCTGACCAACCACTGGTGACACACCTGAGCACAGACTGGGCACAGGCAATCAAACTAATCCACCAAGAGAAGGAGTCCCCCGGTCCCCAACCTGTGCTCGGAGCTGCTCACAGGACATGCCCGAGGATATTGTCATTAAAGCTCTCCCTGGCGTTCAGAGACTCGAAGCAAGAGCTGAGGAATGCCAAGTTCGGAACCCGCAGCGAAAGGCACAGACAGACACGTCCTCTCGGAGCCATCCCGGGGTTATTGCTGCCAGCAGCCCCGTGTCCCTGTCCAGGGGGAATTGCTGCCCCCAAACCACAGCATCCCGAGCACACCAGGCGGGGGGAGCTGATGGTGACCCACACTGGTCACTCGGGTGAGCCCCGACCGGGACACGACCCAACGCAAAGATCATTTCTCTGACTGAGGAGGGGCATGAAAACAGATCGAAGCCAGAAGGATGAGCAAACTGTGCCTGCTATGGACATTTCCTCCTCAGCTCCTGATCCCAAATGGATCTGCTCATAATTGGTCACGGTGGGACCAACAAGAAGAGGCTGGAGGAGCCCCGTGGCCTCCCTGGGCCCAGAGCCCAGCCGTGGTGTCCAACAGACAAATGATCTCTCAGCTCTCACAGATCAGTTCTGGGGGCTGCAAGAATGCCCGGAGAGACCCTGATTTTCAGCAGAACTCTAGCACCAATCCTTGGAAAATTAAGACTTGAATGTGTCTCCAGCCAGGAACTCAGACCCGCTCAGCACTTGTGCCAGCCCTGGCTCAGAGTGGGTCGATCCCCGCACACCAAGCAGCGGAACCACAGCACAGCGTGAGATTTTCCCCTCCCCAGTGCAACATAACTTGAAATTATTCCTTTTAAATTACAAGGAGTGAGCGAAGACTTGCAGAAAGACCACGGCAGCACCTGCTTCCCGAGGAATTGCAGCTGGAGAACCCCCAGCCCTGCCAGCAGCACACGAGTGGCCCACAGCCCCAGTACAGCCCCCGGGAACCTCCAGTACCCCCATTTCCCGGGATTTCAGCAAGGCAAACCCCCCATTTCCCCCCAGAGCAGAGCTGAGCAGCCTTGGGGCACACAGGGATGAGCCGGTGCCGCAGGAACGGCGCTGCCGGACACCGACCCGGCCGGACACCCCGACCGGACCTGTGGGAACACCTCGAGCTCCTCACTCCCCTCCACACACGTTACCACAGGGAAGGACGTCCCACCAGCACCACAGACATCACAGCAAAAGCAAAGGGGTTCTGAGGGAGCCCCAGGGCTGGAGCCGTGCTCGGAGCCGTGGGAGGAACTTTCACACCCCAGGGCAAAGCCCCTCCCTGTGCTCGGGTGAGAATCTCCTGACAGCAGCTACTCGGCTCCCTCTGTGTCAAGCTCCTTGAGCTCACTCCCAAGGGAACGATTTTCCAGGCCTTGGATCACTAAGGAGGTGGCTCTGGACACCTGCCAGGTGGGTTCCAGCACAGCGGCGGGTCCAGCTCGGGGGCAGAGGAGCCCCCAGGCCCAGGTGACCCCACACCCTCACCTGTGTCACCTGTGTCACCCGTGTCCCAACAGCCCAGCGGTGCCACCAGCACAGCCTTCCCGGGAGCAGGTGCTCCAGGCCGGACAGATCCCGTGTCCCAGCTCCAGGGGCTGCCCCTCACCTGGCCCTGCTCTGCCCCCACGGTGTGACCCCCAAAGCCCTCTCAGGGCAGGGACACCAGGGGTGCCCACCCGGAGCTGGGAGGGGCCGTGTCCCTCTCCAATGTTGTCACAAGGTACAAAGTGCAAAAGTGTTGCTGTTCCTGCATCCATTAAAAAACTTTAAAAACAGAACAAAACAAACAGAAAAAGGATTTCCATAATCATTTGAAAATACATTAAGTCTCCAAAAAGCCACCAAAGCCCTGGTCACCTCTGTGTGCTCTGGGTCCTGCTGGGCAGCAGAGCCATGGGCAGTGTCCTCTCCCCGACACACCTGGACCACACCCAGCAGGGACATTGGCCAGGCTCGGACAGGAGAGGCCAAGTGCTGACCCAGCCCAAACGCTGCTCTGAACCACCAGTCTCCATGGGAGAGCAGGGAGCCACCCCTGGAATGCAGAGACACCTCACAGCACATCACCCCTTGGCCTCTGGCTCGGGACACCACGGCCTTCCCTCCCACCCCAAACCTGCACCTCCAAGCCCTCCCTGCTCCGTCCCGTGGAAGTGTTTGCATTTCTCCTCCTATGAAATGTTTCTGATAAGGCTTTATTGCTATACAAAAGCGGTGCAAAGGCTGCCCGAGGACAGCTCCATCAGGAACTTTGGTCACACGACTGCGGGACTCTTGTGCACTGTCCCCGTCCCGGCGTTAGACCTGCTACCTTTCCCAAGAGAAGCTGAATACTGTGTGCAATAACACTCGGAAAATAGGACTTGAACCCCAAATACAAAACAAAAACGAGGGAGACGGGGAAAGGGGACAACTCAAATCAGGCAGAAGGCTTTGCTTGGGAAGAGCCCGTCATTCCTGTGAGGACTAAACTGCTCAATGCTACATTTGGACAATGCAAAGTGTCTCTCCGGACAGACTGTTGGTGTTGGAACTGCGTGTCTGGTCCTCAATGCCAGCTCGCTCTCATCAATGCAGCATTTATTAAAAAATAAAATTAAAATGGAAAAAAAAATAATAAGAATTGACAAATTGCATCACCAGGAGCAGCCTGGCCTGGGTCACACACGTCCCGTGGCAGCGGCGGCATCAAGCGGGGCCGTTCAACGTGGCTTCGGCGCAGGGCAAGGCCTCTTCTTTCCTGGGGAGAAACCCAGAGCAGCATTAGGGACAGGGAACTGCTGGGACAGGCTGGTTCCTAAGGCTTCCTTCATCCTGGCTGCAAATTCACCTCTCTGGTGGGATCCGAGCCACCCTTCCTCTAGTTTTGTTTCTCCTGCCTCCTAAAGCGTCACCAGCTTCCAACAAGAACCTTCTCAGAGTCCTTCACAAATCAGGACACTGACAAATCACAAGGGAGTCATGGAATGGTTTGGGTGGGAAGGCACCTTAAACCCACCCAGTTCCACCCCCTGCCAAAGGGATTAGGGGGATAGAGCAGCTCTCCTATGAGGAAAAGGCTGGGAGAATTGGGATTGTTCCCCTGGAGAAGAGAAGGCTCCGGGGAGAGCTGAGAGCCCCTTGCAGGGCCTAAAGGGGCTCCAGGAGAGCTGGAGAGGGACTGGGGACAAGGCCTGGAGGGACAGGACACAGGGAATGGCTTCCCAGTGCCAGAGGGCAGGGAGAGATGGGATATTGGGAAGGAATTCCTGTCTGGGAGGGTGGGCAGGCCCTGGCCCAGGTTGCCCAGGGAAGCTGTGGCTGCCCCTGGATCTCTGGAAGTGTCCAAGGGCAGGTTGGACAGGGCTTGGAGCAACCTGGAATAATGGAAGGTGTCCCTGCCCATGGCAGGGGTGGCACTGGATGGGTAATAAAGGTTTGTCCCCAGCCCTCAGCAGACCCAGCCTGTCCCCACAGGGCAGGTCTGTCCCCACCCTCACCTGTCTTTCGTGGCCGTTTCCGTGACGGCTGTGATGACAGTGGCCACTTTCTGGTGCCCCTCCGAGTGTGGGGCCACGTTGTTGAGGGCTTTGGGGGCCTTGGGTGACCCCAGGTCAGAGATGGCCATTTTCTCCACCACCACGGAGTCGGTGTCGCTGTGGGAACAGGGCAGGGCCACGTTACAATGAGCTCATGGCAAAGCCAAGGTCACACCGACAGGGGAACGAACAGGGCTTAAACTCCAACGGAGGAAAAAATCCTCCTCCTCCTCTCCTTGCACAGGCCACAAAAGTCCCGCAGAGAAATGAGAACTGGGACTGAAACGCAGTGTCCTGGAGGCTCTGGGTCCTAAAATCAACCAGACAGCCCAAGAAGGTCAGTTCCCCCAGGCAGGCATTCCCATTTCCTGCTGCACAGTTGGCTCTGAGGGTTCCCAGAACTGCCAGTCTGCCTGCCAAGCTCAGCTCTCCCTAAACTGCTGCTTGGGCAAAGCCTGTTCTGCTCTGACAGGGGCACTGACACTGCTCTGCTCCACACACTCTTCCCAAGTGGCCCCTGAGGCTTCCATGGGCACCTGGAAAATACCAAATTTAAGGACAGCACCTAAGATCCTGTGGAAGAAAAGCCCATGGACTGGACATCCATGAGCAGAATGTTCAGAAGCCAAACCCGTGAAATGAACTCGCTCTGGTACCACAGAGGTGCCACAAAGCAGGGGCCTACACCAAAACAGGGCCTCAGATCCTGGAAAAGGAGAAACTGTGGGCACAGACCCTCCAAATCTCCTCTGTTGGGACTGAAACCACCCACATTTCTAATGGGGGAAGGGATTTCTGTGAAATTTTGGCCTCCCAGGCAGAGGAGGAGCTTCCCCATGAACCATCTTCTCCCCAGGTTTCATCACTTCCCTCTGTCTCTTTCAGAGAGCAAACCTTCCCAACAGCAGGAAAGCTCAGGGATGGCTGAGCTGGAATCCTGTTACCAGCTGCCAGGGGAGCTTTAATGGAATAAAAGAATCACAGCCTGGTAACGAGACATGTGATGGAGATTTGAGATCAAGGTTCTATTTCTGAAGCTACTTTTCTTGAAAAAAACCCAACCATAAAAATGAGGAATAAGGAGATCAAAACACTTCCCTTCCTCAAGGGCTCACATGCTCTTCAAAAGGAACAAAAATACACCTTGGAGAGAGGACAGGGACGGAGGAGACAGCACAGAACTGAGCTGAATTCCCAGGAATGCCATTAGGAAACCACTTCCCACACAAGAAACTGGAGCTCGTGAGATTCCAGTGGCTCAAAGATAAACTTAAAATCACCCACTGAAGTTTCCATGACACGAGGATTCCAGTGTTACCTGACCACTGAGGGGGACAAGGAAATTCCTCTCCCTTCACCAGGCTCCTGGAAAATCACAGCTGGGCACAGAAACCTCCACCAGGGACATGAACAGACAAACCAAGGGGTGGCAAACCCAGAGGGGGAGTTTGTGTGGGGCTGTGGTCCAGGCAGGAGGTTGATCACAAGATTTAATGCCAGTCTAGAACAAACTCTGGTACCTATAAATATTTGGCATCAGTGTCCCAGTCTCAGTTGGTTTTAGCAGCTCCCTGAGTCCATAAGGGCCTGTCTGGGGTGAGCTGACAGAGAAGGGAAACCAACAGTGACAGAAGGGACAGAAGGTGTCACCTGTCCCCTCACCTGAATCCCAGGATCCCTGAGGCTGGAAAAGCCCTCCCAGCCCATGGATCCACCCCGTGCCCCATCCCCACCTTGGCCCCCAGCCCAGAGCACTGAGTGCCACGGCCAGGCCTTCCTGGGACACCTCCAGGGCTGGGCACTCCAAACCTCCCTGGGCAGCCCCTGCCAAAACGAGATGCTGAGACTAATTAACGATCTGCATCTCCCAGACTCAGGGTCTGTAAGGGATCCTGGCTGTGGTCCCAAATGATCCAAGAGCTGTAGGTATAGGATACAATTCCAGCAAACTGCTGCCCAGCTGCTCACAAATCCCAGGATGTGCTCCAGTTTTTCCTGGTATTTTGTGGGTTTTGTCATTTATTGGCTTTGACACTGAGGGGACAGTGTTAACCCTTCCCCTGCCCTGCTGGACACTGACCCCAGCTCAGCCCTCCCGGGGGGGGCTTTGCTCTTCTTTTC